TAAATATCTCAGAATGATTAAAATCCACTGTAAAAAGTATTTAATTATAGATACCCACAAGCGAACTGAAAAGATTGGTAAACTGAATGTAAATATTCCTTTGTAAAATACACTTTCGATGGATTTAAAAATTTGCAAAAACTCAACTGAATTGTAGACTACCAAAGTAAACGGGAATGTAAACCATATGGATGAGTCTACAGAAATAGAAAAATATTTTCAATACGTACTCTTCAAATTTATTCTACGCACTATATTTTAACAGCCAGAGAGAACGTATTAGAGGCAATATGTTGAATGTTGGCAGTAATAATCATGGCGTGAAATGTCATATTAAAAAGAACCGCAGGAGGCATGCCAACTGGCTCGAAAGTTAATTAGCTAAAACGATGCCCCCTCGCGGTTCTGCATTCTCGTAATTTCGCGGGCGTTAATACCATTTAGAAGCCCATGCAATGCATTTCTCGCGCAGCCACAAATGAAATAGCAGCAGAAGCAGCAGCAGCAGCAGCAGCGTCGATGCCTTCAAAGAAAGAGAAAAAAAAAACAGAAACCACAGAGTCGCTTTTGCGGGCTCATCCCTCGCAATGAAAGCGAGAGTTGCGAAGATATAGCAAAGCAGAACGAAGAGACGCAAGACAAACAGAAAAGAACTTTAGCGTATGCGTGCTGAGTAAAAGAAGAAAAGTCAGCGAGTCTAAGCACACAAAGCCAAGATGAAGATATTGCACAAAAACTGATGAATCAAAGAAGGAAACAAGCGAGACAAAAAGAAACTGAGAAATTGACGAATGAAGTGAAGTATAGGGGGCAAAAATGATTAGACTACGTGCAAAATCTCCACATATCAATAACAACGTATTTATGCAAATTCTCTACGCACGCGAAGCGAATAGTTGGCACGTGGCCATAATAATCCTAAAAATCCGATCGACTATGATATCCCGAATGGCTCTCTCGTTTTCTCACTCGCCCCGCGAAAGTCTCTTTGTTGAAATTAATCAATTATAGCCGCTCTCGAACCTCTCTTCTTCCGTTTCTCTCTCTTTTTTCGTTCGTTGCCCGTGTGAGCGCTTAACTTCGTTCCATTTAGCGGCGTAGTGAGAGAGAGAGAGAGAGAGAGAGAGAGAGAGAGACAGACAGTTTAGTTGCTCGAGTTCGGCGAGCTTGTATATACGGCCTCTCTCTCTCTCCCTCTCTCTCGCGCGTTCGAGAGGGATTACATACTAGAACGAGAGAGATGCGCCACATATGTCCGCTGCTCGGCTTTTCGGAGAGACTGTTCGCCCTTCTATTTTTAGCTCTTGTTCGTATCGTACCAAGCTCTCGTTGCCGCTGATAAGTCCATTCGAACATATTACGAGCATGCCGGTGTAATTAGTTTGTTCGCGCCTCTTTCTCTAGCCTTTTTGCCCTCGAAAACGCGGATGTCAAGATTTTCGGTGATTCAATTACTCAGGGTATATTTGCGGCTGAGTTCGAGAGTTGTTTTGACTATCGTGTTATTATCGAGCTATGTCGAGCGCAAGAATGGCGTCATTGTTTCTGCCACTCCCGGAAAGGCGCTCATATAAATGCTATGGATTTTTACCCACTCGGATTGTGTCCCATAGAAGATAGAAGATAGCTACACATCCACCACGTCCACTGAAGAACGAGAGATAGCATAGCGAAGGAGATAAGTAATACGAGCACTGAAAGCCAGCCATCCTGGCGCCACCGCTTCGCACGTCTCTATTGACCCATACATACGCGCATTGATCTTGTACATATAGCGTACCTACGTCCGTATAATAGTAGATATGTCTTGCGCGATCGTTGAACGTACTAAAGTATTTATATGGGAGGACATTAAAAGAGACGCACACGAGAGGACGGAATATATGGGGCCGTAGGCCTGAGCAAAATACAAAAGGCGGCGTACGCACGTATTAAGTGGCGGAATTTTCGGTGTCATCGCCGCCAGCGATATTATTCCCTTCTCTCTCCTCGTGTCAAGGTATCTGCTCTGCAGGCGTAAAATCTTGTCTTCTCCGTTGATAAGTACACAAATTTGTTCCGACGCGGAAGAACCCAGCAATAAGTAAGACTCCGAGGGTTTTTTATGATCGTCAGAGCTTGAATAAAGAAAGCATCCGTTGTACCCCTCTTTCCTTTTCTGTTATATTATCCCCGCGACGGAAATAACATTTTAATTGTAATTCTTTGAATACTTGGGGAAAGCATATAATTACAGATAATTATCTTGTTTAAAGAGCGTTCATTACTTAAACAAGATTTAATTGTCACCTGTGTTGTTACGCTGCTTATTACAGAAGCAATGTTTCTCGTCGTGATTCTCGTTTTCGACTAATTAACGGCTACGCGCGCGGAAGCATATAATTGGACATTCATTACGAGTGACTCGATAAATAGTCAATAAATAGTCATGCTGTTGAGAGCCAATTATTGGTACTAATTGATTCGAGAAAATGCCCATATCCTATTGCGTATTGAACTTTGAGTACAGGTAAAATGAGATGTAAGCGTTGTCCAAGCATTGGCTCGATTATCCGTAATCATGACGAGAGTCGATAGTAGCACGATCAGCAGGTTAGACGATGATGAATGGCGTTGTTGGCGCAAACCACGTAAGCTCACCTTCTCTTCTGCCCCTACGTACCCACAGGCGGAAGGGAGCTTTCGCTTCAGTTCTCTCACGTCTCTCACCGTCGGACCGCTCTTGGTATGCATGCGAAGCATGAAACATAGTAACTCTAACGAGTTGGTCTTATGCTCATAGGCCGCGTCTGTATTTATTATGAAGACTAATAAGCTGCAAGTCTTGTTCACGAGTTTGTCAGGCTGTACTTACATGGCGCGGACCTTACAGCTATTATACCACCGACAAACATTAAACGTCGAGATTTCAACTACGTATATGTATATCGGATCCCTTCCCCCCTGCCTGTCCATTATGTTCCTCGATGAGACACGCTCTGCATTTGAATACGTTATAAGACGTCGCCATCTCTCTCTCTCTCTCTCTCTCTCTCTCTCTCTCGCACTCTCTCTCTCTCTCTCACAGCCCTTTTCTGTTTTCACGGTGTACGGTTTCTGACAAACGATTACAAATTGCCCAGAGCAACTGGCCAATTTTTCTCTACTCTTTGCTCGTTTTCGTGTTCTCGCTTCTCACTTTCTTCTCATAGATATAGTTTTTTTCTTTCTCTTGCACTGTCGGAATAATAAAAGGAAGAAAATGTGTTTTAATACTTGGCTGAAATTTCACTCAAATTATTGATCTACAAATTAGTTGATATTCCGCCAAATGGTTGTGCAACTCCATTCATTTATTTACAATTGTATTAGTGAGACAATATCGTCGAGTATCATTTATAAGTAAATTTATTCTAGAGGTAGTTTTTAGTTGCCAACTCGTCTTTTCACTATCAAAACTTTACATTCGTGTAATTATTCCGTCGCTTCGCATTTTGTCAGCTAACTGTATTTTTGCTCATGGAAATGAAATTCTAAAAGCAATGAAGTGTTCATTGTTTCGCTTGTTTTCACAAGTTTTTGTATTGAAATTTCAAAAATGTATTCTAAAACATATATACATTCGGTTTACTTCTCGGATATCCGACCTGAATATTACAAAAAACATGAAATTTTTAACAATGTTTCCAGAGAAAAATGTAGGTAAACATTTACTGTTGCATCCGCGTGCACTCTTTATATTTATTTTATTTACATCGCAGAGGAAACGAGTGTCATAGTTTCAATTCCTCCAACTAGACATAGTGAAAAAAATCTATCGCGCGACTTTAAAACGCAATAGTATACTAAAAGTTGAATACACTAGTAATTCAAGGAATATGCTATACACGCTGGATCATAATTCACAAGGATAAGTCGCGAGCTTATCGATCCTTCTAAATTTCTTTTCTCTTTTTTCTCTGGCTGTGGATTCGAAAAAGAAAGCTAGCCTACGTGGCGCCCGAGAGGGCATGTCTGCTACGACTGTTGTGCAAAGCGGGGACGACCAAATTTCAGGAAACTATTACCAAATGCCGATTTCACGATAAACCGAACGGATGTTCCGATGGTTAAAGAACAATGTCGCAATATCTTCTTTTCTCCAAGAAAAGAAGATTTCGATAAGTTGAAAAGTATATCCAGCGATTCACTTGTGAATCTGCATATTATCTTAGGTGCTTTTCCTTTATCTTATTACCTTTGATTTCCTAATATTTAAGTATTTATAAGAGAAAAATGACTATATCGAGTATTTTATTTAATCCGTAGGCACAATATTGTGCGATTACAAAATAAAGAATCGAAAAACAGCATTTTTAATAATACTAAGAGTTTTTCAGGATTGTTAAAATCTTTGTTAGTTTTCTATGTAAAAATACATTTCATGATTTCCACTTTCTGCTTAAAATCGCTTTGATGGTAAAGTTTTAATTTTGTTCCACACTTTCAGTGCAGATCAAACGCATAAAGTATCGAACTGATTGATATAAAAAAAAATCTTTTACATTGTTTGAAAATATTTAACTTCTATCAACTTTTTTTATCCATGTTCACAGAAAAAGCACAATACTAATTTCGGCTGGTTGCTTTATTTTCCAATAATATTACATTAGCGTTTTACGTATGCGTGCGCTATGGTTCTAACATACGTCCTCGCGTAATTAATCAACTAAAAATCTTCAGTTCGTTTAGCAATTTTCGAGATAAACTCATTATTCTTCTCTCTATGTGCTCTATATTCCGTACACGTTAATGAAGTTTCCTACGGATTAAAATACAATCTCCATATTATTCGCTCAAATACGGTACTATAATCACGCAGGGTCTAAAGCCGCTTTTTTGTCAGTGTGATCAGTTTTACTAACGGATAAGTTTGAACTTAAATATTTGACATCTAGAGTTATTTCACATTTTTCTTAATGCCAATTGATTCAAAAAATTAAAAAATAGTTATTAACTTCAATAAAGAGAAAGTTACTTACCAGAAGTAGGAGACGACGCATCCTAATGTATGGAAATGGTTCGTTCCTTTCCCAATCAGTTGAATTTTAGTAGCAACTCATCTCTGAAACAAGCAAACATGGAACCATCAAATATTTGCACATTTTTATGTCATATTTTCGCACTCAAACATTAACTTTAGACTCGTGACATGAAATAAACCACGAAAATTGGTGTTGACCGCAAAAAAGAAAAAAAAGTATGAAGAGCTATAATCAAGAAACAACATCAACGCGTCAAGTTGCTGGTAATTTCACTCATTCTTAAGCTCGCACGCGTGTTCCGCCAGCGTATATAGAAATACGGGTAACATGGCTAACAAGTTTTTAATATATTTGAGGGGGGGGGGACTATATATCGAGTTAAATGTATGAGGTCAGAAGAACCTGTTAAATAATTATTGCGCAACTTCGGAGCGCGTTCATGCGTAATCTGGCAACAAATGAAAACTTGCGAAACAAAACGTGCTCGAGTCGATGCCCGCGTTATGTTCAAAACGAAACTGCAAATATTTGCTCGAATGTAATGAGATTTGAGTTTCCAAAACTCATCACGTTAAACTTTGCACGCAGATATGGCATCACAATTGGCATTTGGCATGAGATAAAAGACAATAGCGTTATCCTGAAAGCGTCAATCCTAACAATATTCTAACTAATTTGCAAAGTTGGCTAATTAGTGCTCTCGAATTTTCATTTAACGCACTTGATGTATCGAAACACTAAGGGCGCCTGTCGCTCCTATTGTATAAGCTCACTATTATTGCACCGCAAGCTAATCTTCACAAATTCTATTTCTCCAGCCTAAGGTGCCTAATATATTAACTTGAGTTATCCTACAGTTGAATTGAGGCGGAGGAGCGATGGGATTATTAAAATGTTGTTTGCAAAGTTTTATAATTAAATGTAAAATAAGCGTGTATTTGATAACTTGATAAAAAAGTCAAATGATAAGCACAAAAGTACAGGGAAAAAATAAGAGATGAAATGAGTTGAACGTAGCGAAAATCAATATTTGATCCATAGCTAAGCGAGTGGTTCGAGTAGGCGAGCGTTGTAGTCTCATACATCATCTGAGAAGGTCGATGGTTAAATCCGTAATCGCGTGATAATGAAATCCCATCGACACGTATAGGATAGAGCGCGCTAGGGACATAACGAATTTGAAAAATCCGCAATTTCGCGTGCGCAAGTCTTGCGCAATATAGTATAAAGCTTGTGCAAAGAGACTCTCGTTATCTGGATTGTTCGCTCGAATTAATTGGCAGGTTGCCCGGCTGGCGTGAGATATAAAACGAATCGGAGCTTGTAATAAGTGCGCGCCGCGAAATGACGTTGCTGCTGCTCTCTCTCTCTCTCTCGCCAGAGCTTGCGCTGCTAGAAAGAAAGCGGAACACTTGGAATGAGATTGTTGTAAAGCCTTTATGACGATGATAAAAGCTTGCCTCCTCCGAGACGAGAAGTCTAGCGGCATTGATGCGACGCGTCTTTTCTCCTTGATTTTTTCTCATCCTTATATCTCGCCCGCGACTATCGCGTTTCCCCGCTAGATCTGTTTTACTTTTATTTTTACTGCTAATTTTCCGAGCAGTGGGCGCTGCTGCGGCTCATCCGCGCAATTCTTTAGCACGATGAGTCAGCTTAGTTTGCGCACCTTTCTTCATCATCGTTTCCATCTCTTATTTGTAATTTGACTTGAAATAACCTTTTTCTTCATCGATACTATCTTAATGCTCTTTTATAAATTGCTTTTGTCCAAATCAATGTAATTAAAAACACTGATGATGTTTAATGCGCTTCGTAAGCTCATCTTTTTCTTTTTTTTTTTTTGTTGCATTCATTTCAATGCTATAATATAAATCCAAACTTTTATTAACAAAATTGAAAATTCAATATGTATTAAATATTCCCATGATCTTATATAAGATATAGCCAACGATATTATTATATATACTCATGATTTAAGAATATCAATGAAGGTTAACATTCTTTATCGTCCGAAAATCTATGTCTAAAAATTATCAAAAAGTTTCAAAAATACGATAAAAAATGTAATATAAGTTCTAAAAATATTTTAGTTTTTTATAATTGTATCCTTCACGATCTAACTATAATAATAATACGGTAGACGTTCACGATTGTAATTAGAGCATTTTCCAAATAAATGTTAAAATTTTACGTAACTGAATAAAACCGAAATACTAAATTCACAGTACAATTTCATCGCGATAATCTATTGATTTATCTCTTTTATTGTTTATTTTTTTTATTCGAGTTAACTAATAGTTTAAAAAAGAGAACTGCACCAAGTCGTGTTCAAAGTATAATGTCTTTCAAATACATTACTTTATTGTATTTCATATACATAAAACTTTACATCGTGTGCAATTAGATTGGCATAGCTTAATGCGCAATTTAGTTATAAAGCTTAACAAAGTTCAATTAATTTCTCTATCGAAGTATCAGTCGCTTTTATTTTGAGATTGGTATAACTAAATTAATTGATTAATATTAAATTCATGCTAATTATACTGATACATTTTTCGAACATTTAATTACATACAATAATTTGCAGTAATCTTTTCTTTCTACAACGTGTATATAATGTCACATAACAACTGATCACGTAACTATTTTTAAACCAATCAGATCATGAATAAACTGGCTTCACTTTGTTAGGTTCCTTTTTTTATAAGAGGAAAGAGAAAGAGGAATAAGAGAATGGTTAAACTTTCTCCACTAACATTTTCCTTCCAGCATTACATATAAAAGTTTGACTAAGTAGGTTATCTTGACGTGCAAAGTTCATGAGAAACAATATTAGAAATGTACATTAGTATTATGATTGATATTCCAAGTTTATTTTGTTAGTTTAAATATTTAAGATCTTAATCGATATTTTTATACTACCAAACAGATTATAGTTTTGAAAGAGCCTAATTACCGAAAAGTAAATTGCAATTTATTTTTGTGCAGCAAAATTTTCAACAAAATTAATGTAGCTTAAAATAGCTTCATGAAGACGAATGAAAGTTATAAGCAAGCACGATTAAAGTACATACACACATCGATATACGGCAGATCAAAGTGTGCAATGCGTAGGCTCTTTTCTGATGCCTTTATTTCCCGCTGAAAATTAAAATAAAATGTACAATTGTAATTCCACGAGTTTTACTACGTTACAGAAACGCTAAGGGAAAACTATAGCCGTCGGATGCATAGCCGAGAGGCGAAGCTTGAAAACAAATAGACTTGTCGCTTTAAAGGATTTTATGGTGTACATTGACGCGCGAAGTTGAGTGGGAGAGGGAGGAAAAAGAGTAATGCTTTACGGTTTTAATGAAATGGCGTGACAGCCGTTGTACTACTATTTTCAGAATGCACACAGTAGCCGTGTGTACGAGCTGCTGAAGCAATTGAAGTGACGCGCGACTGTCACGTGGTTGGTTGCCTGACGAAATTTTCCACATTCCAACTACATTCATAGTGTACGGAGTTTCTCAGGAATAATCGGCTGGAATGATACTGCATGTGTTTTTTCAAAAAATTCTACGGTATCGTTGAGGGTAACGCACTCTCTAATTATTATTTTTAATGTTACATGAATTGATGATTTTATTAATGATTTTAGTTTACAAAATACTATATTATATGTAGGGCCTACATATAAGTTCGCGAAATGAATACGTCAATTTTTTATATTATCGGTTGCTAAAATTCATGCATTTCCCATGTGCGATTGTGCATGCAAACGATTACGGTAATTCATAACGCTATCCCTACATTATTATTTACATGTATAATGGCAATGAATTTTATTTTTATCTAATCAACTGCATAATTAATCTTTTTGCAACTTGGTAATTGTAGCTTTATTTGATGATATCGATCATTTGTTGTATTTCAATATTTTCGTTACGAAGAATCTTAAAAATAGAAGTCCTCATTGAGAAGAAATTTCTTTTTAAAAAAATGTTTTAAATTCAAGAAAAATTGAAATGACATTTCAATATGCTCAAGTAAGCGCAACGAATGTAGACATTTAAGCGTTGATATGCGTGATATGGATTATTTCGCTCGACAATTTCCAAATACTAAGTTAATAACTTTTAGTAATTACATCGTGCTGACATATTTGCCCAAAAAAATAATAGAATAATCAAGCACCCCATCGTTGACACATCTAACAGCAGCAAAATGTTTGATAACTTATGGAAAAGACAGCCGATGAATGAAAATCCCGGGTTGGCGGCAAAACAGCGTCGTGCGCACGACACCCCCGACTAATCGATCAATTACTTATACTCAGGGTGGAATTCAATTATCGTCGTTCCTTTGTAATTGCACGCAGCGGCGCATACGCGAATGAGTTACGTAATGAACACGAGGCAGCGTGGTGGTTGTTCTTGCCAACTGCGGCTAAAAAGGCGCGCGAGCGCGACGAATAAACGAGTGTTAGTAAACCGGTGAACAGCGGCAGCAACAACGGTAGCAGAACACGAGGATCGCGACATAAAAGTGGGCCACATGCTTGGCATACTCAATTTTACGAGCGCGAAAGAAGCTTGACAAAGTACAACGCCCTTGCCGCTCAGAGCTCGAGGTCAGAAATTCTCGCATGACAAAAAATATAAAACGTCCAAGCAAGAGAAAATAATGGCGGCGCAGGGCTGTACTTACACACACACACAGTGCAGAGTTGGAGGTCGCGATAATAATGTTACGACTCAGCAAACTAGTTATACAAGGGGCTCGCTTGGTAGTGTGCGAGTTTCTTGGGTGTTGTTGCGGAAATGTCGCTTTTGTATAAAGCGCTTTCCCCGTTTGAGCTTGCACACTACACTGCCGTCGGCAGCATTCGTGTATTTATAGGCGTGAGAATGAACTTTCATCGTAATTTGGTTAAAACTTGAGATTTTATTACGGGCAGATGTGGTCTGCTGCTGCTGTAAGGAGGAAACAGCTCGATGCGAATCGAAAGTTAATTATAGTGCTTTCTCTACTGTTTAACTGTCTTTATCAATTGCCATCTAGTTGATGTTAATTACATTGAGTTATTTCAAAG